TTTTCTCGAGAAAGCAAGCACTAGCAGAATCTGAGATGAGTTAGAGTTGCCGAGGACAAGGTGGAGGGTGGGGAACAATTCCAGGCAGGAGGAACTCAAGGCTCTCAGTCATCATGTGTCAATGACCTGATGTGGGAGATGCACGCCACATCCAGGGACATGAAAAAGGGCTCCAGTGCTGTGCAGTGACACAGAGACAGGAAGAGAATCCAGCCACTGACCTGACACGTCCACATGGAGGTCTAAAGCACACACAAACCTTACACATCCACCGAGAGGCAACGAGAAGGGAAGAGAATTCTAGGTTCTGGCTCTTGCGACCAAGGAGATGCCTGTGCCGTTTGCTGCAATAAGGGATGGGAGGAGGCAGGCTTGGGAGAGAAGATGATGAGCCCTGCTTTGAACAGGATAGGTCTAAGGTGCGTGAGTCAGAGCTGAGATGCCGGGGCCATCGGACACGAGAGCTCTGAGAGCATGTGCGTGCACAGGGGAGCACATGGGAGAATGCAGAAGAGATGGTCCTCAGCCGCTGCATTCCTAACTTCAACCAGTCAAACCTAGAGCCATAAGTTCACTCAACGATGGCCAGAAATTCATGAAGGCTACCTAAGCTTACCTGTATCTTCATAAGAAGAAAGCAGATTACCAAAATGTAACCTGATGACTAGGAGTGCGTCTTAACAAACTATGTCCCAGACACACCCTCCTGCCATCTCTGTCTCCTGCCACTCTCAACATCTGGTGTTTATAATTCAACACTGAGTTACAAAGTAAAGGCCAGAATCCTTTAGCAATATGTATGAAAAAGAAATGGCGATGGTTATTACAAATGATAGCTAGAGTTTATTCAGTGCATATTATATACAGGACTCCTACTAATTCTTCACATGAATTCTCTCTCATAATCTTAACAGTAAAATAATAACTTGGTATAGTTATTGTTCTGTCTTCATAGATGAGGGAACTAAGACTTATTAGAGAACTTATGAACTTGCCCAGGACACAGAACCAAGTGATAAAGTTGGAGAAAAGCCAGCAGTGGAGGCTGCAAAGCCCACACCTTTAACCATTGTGGTGTAATCCAAACCAGAACTAAAATTTTAAATTCTCATTCGTAAAATATTGGCTCAGAAACCCTGAAAATCTTTCTCCAATGTCTTGTGCCTCAGTTTCTGTATATTTATTATTTTCTTGTGCAAAATTCTAATAACGCTACAAGGAAAGATTGTACAAGATGGATCCTAAATCAGTGTATGAGGAACCACATGGGGGCTTAGGTAGTAAGTGCAGTGAAAAACCCTTTGATCTGACGTGATCCAGGCAAGTTAATGGAAATAATCTACTAAAGAAGGAATCACTACATTTTACAGTGACCAAGAGACAGAACTCAAACATTGTAGTTTAACTTATAACATATAAATATACATTTATTATATAATCATTGTCTAATCAAATGATCCAGACTCATTTCTTTAGTTCTGGGTGAAGAGATTAGAGTTCTATGTCATTTTTCATTCTTTGAACTGTATTCATCATGGATCATCTGTAATTTCCACTTTAATTTCTTGATCGTGGAGTAAACATGTATTGTCATTGGCCAATAATCTGCTTTTTAATTTCTTTTTATCTGTTTGCCTTGATTTTTTTACCATGTGACCTGTTCTTCTTGCCCAAACCTAATTGAAGCTTTTTTTTTTTTTTTTTCTTGCGTTATGTGGGCCTCTCACTGTCGTGGCCTCTCCCATTTGCGGAGCACAGGCTCCGGACGCGCAGGCTCAGTGGCCATGGCTCACGGGCCCAGCCGCTCCGCAGCATGTGGGATCTTCCCGAAACGGGGCACGAACCCGCGTATCCTGCATCGGCAGGCGGACTCTCAAGCACTGCGCCACCAGGGAAGCCCTTCTTTTTTTTTTAAACTTACCTTCAGAAAGCTTTTCCAAAGTCCCATCAATTGTCATAAAAACAACTTTCTTTGTGCACTCATATTTCATCAGTTTCCATAAATTAAACTGAATTACCTTGACAAGTACAATTGTCACCAGCAGGGTGGAAACAAGCCTGACACTCCTGATGAGCAGCCAGCCAAGGGGTTGTTGCCAATGTACTTGGGGTCCTAGAAGGACGCTGGCCAGAGGGAGTGCCTGTTGGACGCCAGCTGCGTGGTTTGCTTTACGGAAGATATGGAGGGTTCTGGCCAATCTGGAGGCATCCGTTAGCGTGGGAATATTAAGCACATGTATGCTCTACCCTTGGCGTTCAGGAGGAGCCCCTGTGGCTCTGAGCCAGGTTGTAGATGTCTTGGTGATTGCCCTCACCAGTAGAAAACTAAGCATATTCAGGACAAGGGTACCTTGTTCCCAAGGACCTATTAATCCAAGCTTCATCACTCCTTTGTGTTCCTTTCTCTAGACCTTTTGCTCATGATGGCACTTGTCAAAAACTGATCCCAGGGCTTCCCTGGTGGCGCAGTGGTTGAGAGTCCACCTGCCAATACAGGGGACGCGGGTTCGTACCCCGGTCCTGGAGGATCCCACATGCCGCGGAGCGGCTGGGCCCATGAGCCATGGCCGCTGAGCCTGCGCGTCCGGAGCCTGCGCTCCACAACGGGAGAGGCCACAGCAGTGAGAGGCCTGCGTACCGCAAACAAAACAAAACAAAAAACTGATCCCAAGATTTTATATTTTCAAATGATGACTGTGTCCAACCCCCGTTAACTCTTGCCAGAGTTGTTGGTTTTGTTGTTTTGACCTAGAAGAGTCAAGGTCAAAATTTGAGCATAATTTGACCTAGAATTGTCACCTAGAAGGTGACAATTATGAGATACATATTCAACTCCAAAAATATTTACTTTGAAGTTAGGTTGTTTTTGGAGAAGGAGGAAACTCAAAACTTCCTCCAGGGGCTCACAGGGGACCTTATTGGTTTGAATTTCAAGGTCTCCATCAAGGGGGGAACCTCTCTCTACATGAAAAGTTAAAACAACGAGGAGGAAAGCAATAACCTCGTGGTTTCTCTCACAGCAGATTTAACTCTCTTTCCTCTTTATCCCATGTTCTACCCACCTCACCTCATTCTCCCTCTTCAACCTGGAAAACAAAAGGGTGGAGGGAAGGGCACTTATGTTCAACCTCACTTCTCAGATTAAGCTTCATGTCGTCAACACCCTTTTCTGCATTCTTAGGTGATTTACAGAGGGGAGTTTGTTGTCTGTATCAACTGTGAATCTTTGACACAAAAATTCATACTCATAAAAACTGCTTCTGAGCCTCTCCTGAGCCAAATAGAGGTGTCATTACAAAGTGTTTTTGGCACAGAAGGGTGATCTCTGATAACTGAGGTAATTCGCCCTCATTCCTAACTCAGGAGGCAAGAGGTACCCCCCCAAGCCCGTTCAAAGCCAAACACTGTAGCAGAAACAAGAATGACCCAGAAGCTATATTCTCTACTAGTCAGAGTCAGGAAATCATCAGGGACTGAAAAGCATAGAGAAGGCTCCCAGGAAAATAGGGACTTGAGCTGATTGTGTTAGTTCTGTCACAGAAACAACCATTCATGACACTGGTTAAGGAACAGCAAGGCAGGCTTCATTCAGGGGAACGATTTGATAGGTGAAGGCATGACCACAATGGTGCTTTGCAGTAGGGGAGAGAGACTGGATTCAGCTTTGAATACAACAAGGGAAAGTGGGAATTTATAGCCAAGGAGTGAAGGGGAGGAAGGGGGATCATTGGGTGAAAAAATTACTAAGAGGAAACCTCAGGGGTGAGGGGCATTCTGGCTAAATTGGCTTCACAGGAGTTTTGCAAAAGGCAGGCGAGGAGGATCAGAGATTACCTGGTGGTGACAAAGAGTGAGGACTTTGATCGGTATCAAAGGTGATAAGATATTGTGGAGATTCTGGCTAAAGTGACTGAGCAGGATACTTGCTAAAGTGGGCTCTTAGGGGACGTGCCCAAGGACATGGCCCAGTGGAGCTCCTAGGTCACTGGTCAGAGAGACACTGTGTCAGCCCCCAGAGTGGCTGTAACAAAGTCCCGCAGCCTGGGGGACCAACAACAGGAATGTGCTGTCTCATGTTTCTGGAGGCAAGAAGTCCAAGATCAAGGGGTGGGCAGGGTCGGTTCTTTTCAAGGACTGTGAGGGAGAATCGATCCCTGGCTTGTAGATGGGCATCTTCTCCCTGTGTCTTCACACTGTCTTGCCTCCATGTGTATCTCTGTGTCCACATCTCCCTTTTTTTTTACAAGGACACCAGCCATGCTGGTCAAGGCTCACCCAAATGACCCCATTTTAACTTGATTTTCTCTTTAAAGATTCCATCTCCAGATAAGGTCACATTCTGGCATGGTAGGGTTAGGGCTTCAACAAGTGGGTGTTGACTGAAAAAAAAATGCACAACGTGAGAGTTGTGAGTTAAGTTTTATTTGGGGCAAAATAAGGACTATAGCCCGGGAGACAGAATTTCAGATAGCTCTGAGAAACTTCTCCAAAGAGGTAGGGGGGAAGGTCAGTGTTACATATGATTTCAGTGAAGGGGGTACATGCAGTCAAGCACACGTTTTGGCAGAAGCTTCCTGCTAGTCACGAGAAACAGGTGTCACCATTAATGATTATAGTGCCTTTCTAGATACGAGGAGATGCAAGAATTGGGCTCATAAAGTCTTCTCCTAAAAGTATCTATCTATATGAAGGCCTGTTCTACCAGTTTTTCCCAGAGCACAGAGTGCCTCATTCCTGATGTCCATCCTAAACTCCTTTCAGTGGATGTTGAAGGTCAGCGGCTGCAGCAGTTCATGATTTAATCCTTGCAGAGGCAGATGGCAAGTGCCAATTTGTAGTTGGCATGGGTTTTGAGGGACAGAGTTCAGCCCGCATCCCTGACTCCCGAAGAGCTGGGAAGAGAGAGTGGCAGGGCCCAGTGGTGTCCTGTGGGGTGGTGGGTCTGGAGTGGCGGGGAGGGAAGCTCCATCATTCTGTCACTAAACTTTCTGCTTTTCCAGTTCCAGGTCCCCCCGCAGGAGTCAAGGCGGCTGCGGCCTCAGCCTCCATGGTCTTTGTGTCTTGGCTCCCACCTGTCAAGTTGAATGGCATCATCCGAAAGTACACGGTGTTCTGCTCCCACCCCTACCCCACGGTAAGTTGGTAAATCACCCAGTGCCTTTCAAGCATCTTCCAGAAACGAGCCGCAGGCGCTCGCTTGAGACATTCTCCTTCCTTTGTTTCCCACCTCCTTGGGTTTCCCCAGTGGTTTTATTCTTCTCTCTGCTGTCTGCACATACAAAGCAAGGTCCTCATTACCACCTCACTGGAAAACACACTTCTGAATCCTTCTAAGGGACACAGTTGTCTGGAATGATTGTTTATTGGGTGAGTTCCCACAAACACTGCCAGCCGGCTTATCAAAATCAAAACCCGGAGGCCTTAATTGATCGTCAGTGGACACCACCTATTGATTTTGCTGTTGGGCTCATCCTTCAATGCACTTCATGCTTCACCTGCCTCCCTCGCACACCCCGACCCCATCCTCCTTCCCTGCCCATCGCCCACTGAGACCCAGCAGCCGGAAAAACCTTGTTATGCTAGAAATGAAGGACTTTAACAAGTCTCTATGACCCTCACAAGTACAACAGTCAGCTTAATTCATTGTGAAGGAATTAAAAGTTAGGGTACTTAATATTTCAAAATATGGGATTTACTGTCATTAGTATTAACACCACTGAATGATACTTACAGAGTTAGAGTGTTTCTTAAACAGAAGAATGTGTGTATCCAAAGGGGAAATTTCAAAGAAAACAAAAAATGGTTCATGAAATTTATGACGACTTCGTAGAAATGTTTATGACATTTTCTGAGGTAGGCGCTGTGTCCAATCCATCTTTCCATCTCCCAGCTCCTGGCACAGCGCATGACATGCATAGCCATTCACTGTTTGTGGAGTGAATACACAAATTAATTTTGGTTTTATTGTGGTAAAATATCAAAACATAAAAGGTAGCATTTTTAAGTGTTCGATTCAGTGGCATTAAGTCCATTCACATTGTTGTGAGACCATCACCACCATCCATCTCCAGAGCTCTTTTCTTGGAAAACTGAAACTCTGTGCCCATGAAACACTACCTCCAATTCTCCCTCCCCCACCCCCTGGCAACCACCCTTCTCCTTTCTGTCTCAGTGAATTTGACTATTCTAGGAATCTCATAGATATCACCAGAATAAGACAGTGTTATCTTTCTGTGCCTGGCTTTTTTCACTGAGCATAATATGTTCAGGGTGCATGTATGTTGTAGCATGTGTCTGAATTTCCTTCCTTTTTAAGGTTGAATAACATTCCTGAACTAACTTAGTAATTACTTTTTAATTAAAATGACATGCTTTCCCAAGTCTAGAGTCTGTAGGGGACCCAGAGGCCCAGTGGCACCATAGACACTGAGGATGATTAACGGTGGGGAGACAGGGGGAGAGCAGGAGTGTGGCTCACAGATGGGCTTCCATCTCTGAAAAATATCAAGTTGTGTGTTCTGCTGTTTATATGTCAACAGCAGTGCCTCTGGAGTTGAAGTAAAGACTTAGAGGTAACATGCTTAGATATGGGATTCAGAACTTGTGTGAGTTCCTTATCTGGTTTCAAACACGCTGTTAACTCTCACCTGCTGAATCCTACCATCAGATCACACCATCAAAGTCCAGAGATGCAGAGCAGTGTAGAGGGCACAGTGGGTGGCCCTCTACTCAGAGGCCATTCACTGAGGACCCTGTGCAGGTTCTGATCCTTTGGGCATCAGCCCTGACATACCACCACATTCAGCAAAGAGAGACAAAATTATTGGTGAAAGTGTGCCCATATTTCACTCGAATATGAAGGGCTTCTTTATTTTTATTCATTCATTCATTTCTTGATTTGCTATAGGACTCCCAATTGCTCTTTTGACTCCAACAAGCTAGAGAGAGCCAGCAGGGAACACCGGCAGCTCACCCTCATTCTGTCTTCCCAATCGGCTCTTTATCTCTGAACTAAAAGCCCCAACCTGGCTTATTTGTAATTAATCCTAAGTGACTGAGGCTTAGAGGAGCGAGCTGGCGTTTGTGGATTGTGGGTGCCATATTACTCTCCATCCTCCCAGCCCACGAATTAAGTCCTATAAAAAAGGAGGAGTTACTATCCCAAACACAGTATCCATCGAACACTCTGTAGGATGGAATATAAATAATTTCCCAAGGGATTTCCAGTCTCTCCCTGCATAGAATAATGGGATTCAACTATCCAGGACCTTCTCAACAAGAGCCTTTCAAAAAATACCTTAGTGAGATCAAACTAACCAGAAAAGGTGGGAAATAACTGAATTTCTCACCTCCTTGATGTCTTACAACCGCTAGCACGTGTTTCTGTGCGGTCTTTAACCATATTAAAAAAACACTGTAAATCTAGAAATATGATTATCACAAGGTGCCTGTGGTCTCCCGGGAAGCACCACTTATTAAGCTTTGCAGAGAGGACCCAGAACTCCAGAGCTGTCCTCAATAACAGGAAGCGAACCAGAATCAGTTTTCTTCCATCTCTAGAACCACATTTCTATTCATCTATTTCAAATATCATTTAAGACCACGAGGCCTATTTTAATAGACTTTATTTCTTAGAGCAGTTTTAGGTTGACAGCAAAATTGAGTGTGAGGTACAGAGACTTCTCATATGATACCTATTTTTAAAATAAAATAATACCATTACAAGTAAAGATGTGAGAGAACTAATACACATGTCTTCAGAGGTGAAGACTTAAAAAAATTCCATCTACTATTCTGTTTTTTTCCTGTGGAATGAATAAGGAACTATAAGTTACTGGAAAGGGGGAATTTTTCCCCTCTTTGGTGTCTGCAATTTAATTTTAAGTCAGAAAATGATGCTATCACATTTCTGAGGCTTTTACTTTTCTGCCAATGTATCGAAAGAAACACCAGAGGGCAGTCCTAGTTCTGTGTATTTTTCCTGCTCGTGTATCTGAATTATTTTTCCTTTGAAATGACTTCATAGTCGAATGTAGAACATGGGAAGATAAATTAGGACACAGCATACTCTGTAATTTAATCTTCTTTATGAGAGTCCCTCGGCTAACCTCCTTGCTGATGTAAATTTTCTCTCAAGATCCTCAATTCATGCCCCTTCCTTGTGAAAGTGCCTTTGTTAAAAGACACAGGCTCTTTTCTCTAATATGTACGATGCATTGTCTGATTATAGGCATTTGTTTCACGGTGTTCTCTCAGGTCAGCTTAGTAAAAGGAGTCAGAATATGAAACTTTGTATGTTGCCAGACAAGAAACTGGAAAATCGTCTCAAGGCTGGTTGTCTAAAAGTGGTGCTTGGTAAATATTAATCTCACTGTGAGGGACCAGCTAATGCAAAGAGACATCAACCTTCCCAGTCAGAGAAAAACCTCAAATCTGTTTGATTAAGGAATTCATCATATAATTTTTGGAACCATGGCTATTACTTTTAGTATATAATGGTTTGGATGATCAATTCATACACTATGAGAAGCAATGGAAATCCAAAGTAACGAGCTAGCCTTGTAAGGTCCCAGGTAGAAAGCAGTTAACCTGGATTTCCTCTCTAACGACCCTCCCTACTTAAAAGCAGACTGTGAAAAATGTTATATATTACATAAGCACTAGGAGGTAGAAATTGTCTGTTCTGCAAGGCTAAGCTGATGGACATAGAAATGTGAAATTAGATAGCACAAACTTCTCATTAATGAAGAATAAAAATCAGAAGGTCTAAAAAATTATATCAGTGAGCTATGATCCACCTCAGTTATTCCAGTTTCAGAAGATAATGTTAGCCAGTTCCTGCACAAAATAGAGCTCAGTAGATGCTGCTGAATGAGCAGATGAGACTCACAGCAACTAACTCTCCACAGTGGAGCCCACAACTCAGAATTAAGCAAGTCTTCTAGGAAGCAAAGAAAGTAGGCTTTACCAAGTCCAGACAACATCCAAGCCAAGGTAGCAGGTGTGTGTTTGCCTCCCAACCCTCTCTAGACTGCATTCCCTAAAGCTACAGTGGGGCTGAGGACAAGACAGAGTGGCTTTAGAGAACCACAAATATTCAGGAATCTCAAGTCAAAAAAATGGTGCAATAACAGAATCAGGGAAATAGTATCTAATGTGACCACCTGAATTTATAATGATGCTCATCATAATATTGATTGTTCCTCTCTCAGAAGTCACCATGGGCCTCCTGGTTGTAAAATTCCATTGCCTCTTAGGAAGAAGTAATGCTCTTCCTATTTTAAGTTGTAGCATCACAAGCTATTATATAGTTATTTGTTCTTAAATTTGTTTTTCTTAGCTTCCATTATCCTTTTATTCTTTCTCCTTTGTTCTCCCTCTCCCTCAACACCCCACCCTTAAAGGTAGGCATTTTTCAATACTCTACCTTCTTTTCTTATTCTTTACTATCTCCCTGAATAATTGAATCTATTCTCATAATTTATCATCTGAAGTTAAGGGATTCAAAATGTTTATCTCTAACCCTGACAATCTTAGAGAACCAATCAGTCCTATATTGTCAACTTCCTACCATCCATGTCTTCTTGGAGACCCCACCACATCCAACATGTCCAGAACCAAATTCATTCTTGCCCCCCATTCTGTTCCTGTTTCTCAACTAAGCTAATCATTTCCTTTGACTAAGCTAATGATTACCTTAGACAAAGCTAAGCCTTAGATTACCTTTGACTCCTGTTCTCCCTTTCCACTCATTATCTGATTTGTTTCCAAATCATTTCTTCATTTACCCAGCAAATCTCTGTAGAGGGCTACCCTGTGCCAAGGGCTGAGCCAGAGTCAGAGGTGTATCAGTCAGGAGAAGCTGAGTTATGCTGTGTAACAAGCATGCCTAAAAATCTCAGTAATTTCCACCAATAACGGCTTCATTTTTCTTTCACATTCATGTTCATTGTGAGTTGGTGGTAGCTCTGATCCATGTTATCTTCACTCCAGGAAGGACCCATATGGGTTTTATGGCAGAGGGAAAGAAATCTCTGGAGGGTCTGACATAGGCATTAAATGCTCCAGCACTAATCAGTGGCTAGAATCCATCACATAGCCTCACTCAACCACAAGGGAACCAGGAATACAATC